GAGCACCTGAGGAAGCTCCTCCCACATACGCAGAATGCAGTCTCTTGCACACTACCTGGCTGGCAAGAGCCAGCAGAAACAGATCTGAGCATCAGGACACACTTCATTCCTATTCAAACATGTATCACAGGGCTAGCTGGGAGGAAGGAGTTCCTGCTTTCAGCCTTGAAATGACTGAGCACTTTGGAAGATGGATTTGTTACTCCATCTTTTTTGTAAGTTCTACTAACAAGATAAAGACTGTGTGTTCTCCTCTGCCAACTGGTTCATAATTATTATTAATTCCCTGCAAGATAGTATTTATACAAGCATACAGTTGTTAACACTGGTAAAATGCAATAGCTTCTCAATTTAGTGTATTGATGCATTTATTTGGGAAAAAAAAAAAAAATTGGATGTTTTATAAGGCAGCTTGAGTTCCTTTAGCTTCTTCCTGTACTGGGACAACATGTAACTTTGATTATCAGAAGCCTGAAAATATAGGTTAAAATCTTTGAGAAAGACTCAAATAAAAATGAGATTTTTTTTTAACTTAAACATTCTTTAAAAATAAATAACAAAAACAACAACAAAACCTCACCATACAGGATCACTCTGCTCTGAAAATAATGCCCAGTGTGTTTCCTGTTTAACTCTTGAAAACAAAACGTTGCAGTTCTTCCCATTAACTTAAAGTTTGTTTGCCAACCTGTAATTTTAGGCTGTTGAATTTAAACCATGTTGCTGGTGGTCTGCTGGATTTTGGGAGAAAGGGGGTGTAGCTTGAAGCACCACAAGGTAATAGAGCATACCTTAGGCAAAATATGTTGAAATTATAAATATTTAATGCTGTTAATAGAGCCTCAACTTCTAGCACTTTCAAAGTTAATAAAACCTGATTTGTTAAGCAATGTAGGTACTTTCAAAAGTCTGAATACTGATTTTCCACTGTAGGCTGTGAATAATTTCAATGAAACGTGAAGAATTAACACCTACCAAATACTGTCAGAAACAAGCATTTATCTGCTTTGAAACTTTTATGTAGCTGATAGGAAGAACAACAGCCATGCCTGCACAGTCAAAAAGTTTTGTTGTATCTAGGCAGTGCCTCCAAGGAAGGATTTTTGTGTGCTCTCTGGAGATGAGTTGAGTTCCTTTAGCTTCTTCCTGTACTGGGACAACATGTAACTTTGATTATCAGAAGCCTGAAAATATAGGTTAAAATCTTTGAGAAAGACTCAAATAAAAATGAGATTTTTTTTTAACTTAAACATTCTTTAAAAATAAATAACAAAAACAACAACAAAACCTCACCATACAGGATCACTCTGCTCTGAAAATAATGCCCAGTGTGTTTCCTGTTTAACTCTTGAAAACAAAACGTTGCAGTTCTTCCCATTAACTTAAAGTTTGTTTGCCAACCTGTAATTTTAGGCTGTTGAATTTAAACCATGTTGCTGGTGGTCTGCTGGATTTTGGGAGAAAGGGGGTGTAGCTTGAAGCACCACAAGGTAATAGAGCATACCTTAGGCAAAATATGTTGAAATTATACATATTTAATGCTGTTAATAGAGCCTCAACTTCTAGCACTTTCAAAGTTAATAAAACCTGATTTGTTAAGCAATGTAGGTACTTTCAAAAGTCTGAATACTGATTTTCCACTGTAGGCTGTGAATAATTTCAATGAAATTGATTTAAACGTGAAGAACTTTAACACCTACCAAATACTGTCAGAAACAAGCATTTATCTGCTTTGAAACTTTCATGTAGCTGATAGGAAGACAGCAGCCATGCTTGCACAGTCAAAAAGTTTTGTTGTATCTAGTCAGTGCCTCAAAGGAAGGATTTTTGTGTGCTCTCTGGAGATGAGCTTCCTAAGTGATACTTAGGTCTTTTTGTTACTATAGCAGGATACCTATCATGTTGTCTTTGGCATGCTTAATACTTTCTAGTTCTCAAGTCCCACTTCATTGCTACAGTTTGCTGTAATTGATAGCCCCAATCACCTGCACCTGGTAGGTTTCCTGCATTTGGTGCTATTTTAATAGTCACTAGAGATTAAAGCGGCTTAACAGAAGGGACCCAAGCGCTACTGAAGATGCTGGAATCGCTGCAGGAGCAGTAAGGAAGGTTTCAGGTTGAAGTGGATGCTAATGTTCAAGACAGTGCTGTCATCTGCATGCACTCGTAGCCTTTTGGAGCTTCAGCAGCTCCCCTCATGGTTCCTTCTTCAGAACAGAACTTTCCACACCAGAGTAGTTTAATAGGAATGCACAGGCTTCCTAGACTTTGGAAGTGAATGCTAATTGTCATTTCTGGTCGTACCATCATTTGCCAAAGTGGCACTGGTGATTAATCTGTCAGAAGTTGTTGCCTTACAATTTCTTTTGTTAGAGGAGTTTTTGAAGAACCACAAAGGAAGGCAGATAGAGGCCTAGGAAAGCGCAAATGACGAAAGATAAAATTCCAGTGACATCAGTGGTGCACAGCTGAAATTCTGTGAGGTGAGTCTGGACATTAAATGGAAGCTCCTTGTGCAGAGCTGCATTTGAAGCAAGGGCCAAGCAGAGAAACCAAAGATTTCTTGATCTGAGTGGAAGCATCCTGAGGGTCCACAGAATACTGTCACTAGGTCTGTTGGTGCTGACACCACTGTTAATGAAATACCGTTTGAGGAAAAGAAGGGAGCTCACATGGTTGCAGTGTACCATGCACTTTCAATTGTGTAGTCTCCAGATTAAGCACATACAAACTTTTAGGTTCCCCTTTTACTTTGTTAGCAAAAGAAATGGCTTGTATAGACCCCATATCAACTCTTAGAAATCAAGTAAAATTAGAAGAGGAGTAGATATCTTTAATATCTGAGCCATTAGACTGCCAATATGCTGTTGGAATATCTATGAAACTGAACATGAGAAATTGCTGAGTTGACCAGATAATAAGTAGAAAGTATCTCATCACACCAACAGTATGTTTTGCAAGTTGGATCGTGTCTGTTGGGCAATTCAGTGCTCTGCTACCACTTTAATTATATTTGTAAAAATGTAATTAATTGAGCTGTAAAAATATACGCAGAAGACACTTGTACAGGAAATACAGACCAATATGAGCAATGCACAAAACCAGTTCCAGAGCTGTCAACATTAGCTTTAGATTAGGGAAGTGCTGTTTTATGAGGTCTGTCACTGAATGATCTGTCCAGAGGGACTAAAAGTGGATTCAGCGATTTTTGGCAGTTAAAGGATGTATCATGTCTGCTGATGCTTCTGTGCTTCAATGTTTTTTTTGTGTATGCTAGCTTTCACAGCTGACTGATTAATGTCCTTTTTTAAGCATTTGCTAAAGGAAGAAACAGCATTTGTCTGGGTATCAGTAGTTCAGGAAAATTTCTAAAATCATAAACGGTCTTTCTATAAACATTCTCATACGGGTATATCCCACCTTCTGAAATTTTAGGATACAAGAAAACACTTCTGACTGTGATTTAGGAGTGCTGTTATCTTGGAGTGTGTGTCCTCAAGCCTGATTTCATTTGTTCATTTTAAGAAAAGCAGACTGTAACTACACTGTTGGTGACAGCAAATACTGGGGGCCTGGTTCCCCATTTTGTCAGGAAACTCAAAAATTGTTGTTTGTAGTAGAAATTAAATCAGTGTTAAATGATGGAGTTCATTCTTAAAATTTCTATCTTGCCATCGTCTCTGGGCAAGCAGAAAAAGAAAGCTGATGGTTTCAGAAGTTACTAGCCTCTTTCTCAAGCCTGATACCACTGTAACAAAATCAGCTAGTGTTCCAACCAGTGCAATCCATCCAGTCTCAGACCTCTTAAATATCACATAAAGGAGTCTTCTGCATGATTTATTAGCCTGCTAGATAGTTCAGTAGCTTTAATTAGATGCAGGTTCCTACAACTGGCTTATTATATCTGGGAGGCAAGCTAAATACCCAGGATGGTTCTGCTTTCTCCAGACAAGTTATAACTCCGCATTAGCAAGACACTTGGGAGACCTTCCCAGCCCAAGTATGAGCTACCCAGCAGTTTGCTAAATCAAATGAAATTTACATGTACCAGTTTTTCTGTTACAACTCTTACTCAGCTCTCCCTTAGCAGGCTATCTTTTTAAACTTCATTGTTGAGCCTACATCTTCCAAAACATGAGAATTACTTTTCTTGCATTTAAGGACGTATTTCTTTTTTTTTAATGTTGTGTTTCAGTGTATATCCATGCTTTGAAAGGAATGTCAGATGCTCTTTTCCTGTATATTACATGCAAATGGGCAAACAAGTAAATGAAACTCTGGAATAACGTGTGTTATATTGTTATAAATTACTATTCTTTCTCAGAGTTTCCATGTAACAACTCTACTCGTTCTGCCAATACTCTTCATTATTTGCAAATCAATGTTGTGTTTCAGTGTATATCCATGCTTTGAAAGGAATGTCAGATGCTCTTTTCCTGTATATTACATGCAAATGGGCAAACAAGTAAATGAAACTCTGGAATAACGTGTGTTATATTGTTATAAATTACTATTCTTTCTCAGAGTTTCCATGTAACAACTCTACTCGTTCTGCCAATACTCTTCATTATTTGCAAATCACCAGTCACAGTCTCAGTTCTCCTTCCAGTAGGTGCCCTCATTCCAGATACTTCTACGTCATTCAGACCTCATACCAAATCCACGAAGATTTGTCATCATTTTAACTCTAAAGAAATCGCTTAACTCTAAAGAAATAACTATGCACAGAAGATGCCCAAAAAGGATGGGCTTGTCAAGGCGTGTCAGAGACAGGACTCTGTGTGCGATGGTTAAATCCAGTTTGTTCCCAGAAAGCTTCGTTTCTCTTCTACCTTCTGCCACCACGCCCGCATTTACTCTTGCTCTGCCCCAGTCCTGCCTTGGCTCTGTGGTATCATTCTGCTTCCTAATTCTACGCAGTCCCACTGAAATCCTTCAGCCCTCTAATTATCCTTTCTGAGCCCTTTTTACAGTACTACAGCATCTCAAGAAATTATAAGGTGGAGAGAGCAGTGACCTAAGATGTGAATGTATAAATAAAAAAGATGATCTCATCAAATCTGCTGAGAGTTCAGAGCGGTGGTATAAGACCGTTAATTTTCTGGTGTTTCTGTTGCAGGGTGGGAATAACGCAGGCCATACTGTGGTTGTTGATGGGAAAGAATATGATTTTCACCTATTTCCTAGTGGCATCATTAATCCAAAGGCAATTTCTTTTATTGGTAAGTCAATTTTGGGACTTATTTAATAAAATAACATCACACAGTGAGTAGCTGCAACCATAGTTTATAGTAGCAAACAAAGAGAAACGCGTAGGTGAGCATCATAGATTTGCTTTAGCTGTTTGTCTTTTATTTCACTGCTGCTTTAACATGAAGAGTTGTTCTATGTTCAGTGACAATTTAGTGTCTTGCTGCTAGAAAATGGAAATTAAGAACCCTCTTTTTCTATCATGTTGCTCTTACTTATACTTTACGGTACAAGTTTGAATCCCACCCTCTACTTGCACACTCCTTTTATACTTTCAGAAATACAAATGCTATTCTTTGAGGACACAAAACCCAGCACTTAAGCTAAATAAATAATATCGTTTATGTCTGGCATCTCTTCACTGTCTTTCCAGAAATAGGCCCCAGGATACAGGGCTCTGCCTGGAAGGTCATCAGCCAGTCTCCTTTTTATTCACATTACCAACTGTTCAAAGTGATGTTGTATTTCACTGTAAAGATGTCTGATGCAAATAGCATTATAAAAAAAGTTTGCATTGCTTTCTGGACACTAGACTCATATTTGAGTGACAGGCAAACTTAAGCCTTTTCCTTGTCCAAAATTATCATTCTTTCTGACAGAAAAAACATATAGAGACTGTGCAAGAAATTAGTGTAAGTTTTAGGGAATCGCAGAACTGTAGTTGCAGTTTTGTTCCATTTGATAGTTTCCAAATGGATGATTGAAATATATGAAACATATTTTTTCTCTCTGCTAAATATGGGGTATTGTCTTGATTTCCACTTTACTCCCTCGTCAGTTAGTAAAGACTATAACTTAAGTTATTCTAAATTTAGGCTGAGACAGGCTCTTGCAGACATTTCTGATGTTCCCAAGAAGGAAGCAGCAGCTGTTTCCAGCGCACTACATCAGTAATCCTCCACATCTCATCAGTAATGCTCTGTATCGCTTGTGGATTTTAAATTGTAGCTCAAAAGCAGGAAGAAGGCATTGGTAATGTATTACAGCACTAGTTTGCGCTGAGTTTATAACAAATATGTGAATATTGAAGAAAATTTAAATACTGTCGCACAGACTTGTCAGTGTTGTAAGGCCATAGACTTCTTTGAGCTTTTACCAGTGAACAATTGAGGCTGAAGTCGTGGTGCAAAGTCCACCGCAAAGACAAGAATCAGCTTACCTCAGCTGGCAGTAGAGCGGGCCCAGCATTTGCATCTGAAACAAGCAAGCTCTGTTTTTTCTAATTTTTAGCAGATTGTAGCTGCTTACCCCAAATGAGGATTTATCCAAAAAGTTCTCAAGACCACTTTGTGAGAAATGTGAGAAACTTAGTCTTACTTTTGCTGTTTGAAACTTTATTTAAAGTGTTTACATGCCTTACATCCTAAGAATGAGTATTTTATTTCTTGCTTTAAAATAAATCATTTATGTTCCCAAAGGTAATGGAGTGGTTATACATTTACCAGGCCTGTTTGAAGAAGCTGAAAAGAATGAAAAGAAAGGTTTGTATCAAGTAATTTTTAACCTTTCTTTATATTGACAGCCAGGTTGAGGTTTTTAAGCCTTTGTTTCTGACCATAAATACTCAGTGCAATAACATTCTGGATTTTAAATAATGAGGAAAACAGTATTTAAAATGTTGAATTGTGTTGTAATCTTCCATCGGATTTTCAAAAGCAATCTTTTCATGGGTTTTCAGGGAGTTTTATGGCATTTGATACCACATTAGACAGAAAATAAAATCCTAAAGCATGTGGCAAAGTTCCCTTTGACCTCCAACTGAAATGATTTAACTCAAGGTTTCTGTGTCCCCATTTCGGTGCCCAAGTATAAACTCAGTTGGTTCTGCTTTGAGTGAGGCTTTGGACCAGATGACCTTCTAAAGTCCCTTACATCTTAAATTCTTTTGTGATTATAGATATGTATAAATTCTGTATTTTCTGAGGCACAAGTGGAGTTTAAGTGATTTATCATACAGCAAGTTAAACAAGAGTCCTTCCCTAAAGTAAGAATTGTATGTAAGCCACAGCATTCTGGCATTAAGAAGTAGACGTGAGTATCTTTGTCCATACCAAAATGAGAAAGCTGACAAAGTAAAAAAAAAAAAAAAAAAAAAAAGAGAGAGAAAAGTTTGTTAACGAAAACATTGCTGATATTTGATATTCACCTATGTTTTATCCGTTTTGTCTGCAGTCTTCTTAACAAGAAGCTATATAAACTAGAAGAAAGACACAGAAAAACTAAAAGCAAATCTCAAAGTTTGACTGATCAGCGCAGCTGAAATCCTACTTTTCTTTATATCTTCTGACAGGTTTAAAAGATTGGGAGAAAAGACTGATTATATCAGATAGAGCACATATAGGTAAGTGATGATTGAAGGGGGGGAAGAAACTCTCACAAATGTTTGCTTAGCTCATGGTGCTAGACTACATTATTACTCCACAGAGCAATCATGTATTTGATCTAATATGGCTTCTTTATATGTTGTGTATCTGAAGCGTAATAATGGGATTTGTATCTGGTAAAGAATGAGGTTTTACATGGTTTTTTGCAATGTTTAAGGAGGACTCTGTTTTTACATGAGGAGGCCTATACACTGTCAAATATCACAAAGGCACTTTGTCTTGAAATTATGGATGTCTGTGATTTAAAAAAATGTTTTTCTCCTTTGGTCTCCCACTATGTCCCTTTGATTTTTCCATTGCAGTGTTTGACTTTCACCAGGCAGTAGATGGACTCCAGGAAGTGCAACGTCAAGCACAAGAAGGAAAAAAGTAACTATTTTCAGCACCTTCATTTCATTAATAATTATGCAATTTTTAAAAATTGGTGTAATTTTGGAAAACAGAAATGCAACGTATCTCAAAGAGCCTTGCTGATGTTACTAAGTCTGTGACTCTGTTCTGCTTCTACTTATGTTAGTGAACAGTCTGAGGTATTACTGAAAAGGTGGGGTAAGAATTCTTATATATTTCCATTTTCCAGTATCTATTCATACTTCATTATTCTGTTTTCTGAAAGAACAAAGATTTATGTGAACACACTGTGTTTTTTCTCTCTGTTAGTATATTAGTTTTTTGATCCCACTGGACAATTTCAGCCAAACTTAAGATAAAAATAGACATCTCAAAATTACTGTATTTCTAAAATGCACATTAAAATAGGCATGCAGGTAGGGAAACAGTTTCATTTTTTATCCTCATCGAGGTAGAGGCTGCAGCAACAGTTCATATGGACAGAGGTGGTATAAATAATGCCAAAGCCATAGGAAACCAGTTTGATTGCTCACAGTACTGGTGATTGTTTACAAATATAGGCAGTGCTGCAACTGTGAAATGATATTTGTTTCCTATCATTTGTGGTAAGGAATGTAGTAGTACCGCAGGATAGCACAGTAACTGTTATTACATATGTATATACACACATAGTTTCAACTAAGCTTGTCTCAACCAGACTCAAGGCTTAATGCTTTACTGCATACCATGAGTATTAGTGATATTATTATGCAAATCCACTGAAGCATGAAAGCTGTTATATATTTATTATTCTAGAACTTTAGTCTTTTCTTATGTCTCAGATCTTCTGCCCAGTATACGGTATATCAAAGAGTTTTAACAAAATTACTTAGCATAAAGCATATTTTTTGCACATATTTATACATTTGGGGGGGGTTCTTTTTCATTAGTATTGGCACAACAAAGAAGGGGATTGGACCAACATATTCTTCCAAAGCTGCACGAACAGGCCTTCGAATTTGTGACCTCCTTTCTGACTTTGATGAATTTTCTTCAAGGTACAACTATTTTAACTTCTAAATACTACGTTCAAAGAGTGATATGTCTTGGCTGACAAACTTGCTTTTAAGGATATGTTTTTAAATACGTGTCTGAATTTTGTACACAAATTGTCTAGAAGGAGAAGAAAACTGGGAAGAATGCGTGTGTGTATATTTCCTGTAATTCAGAGTTTCTCATTATTTAAAATGTAATTTTGTACATTGGGAAATGCACTGGTTGAAGTATCGAAGTCCTGGGTATTTTCTCCCTACAGCTCTCAGCAGACTGTGTACAATATAAGCTGAGTTCTTGCCAACGGTTCTGTGAACAGTAACTCAAAGAGTGTTCTTAATAGACACGATTTCAATATTTTACAGATTTAAAAATCTGGCACAACAATACAAGTCAATGTTTCCCACATTGGAAATAGATATAGAAGGACAATTGAAGAAGCTAAAGGTAAGTCCTTAACACTTGTTCATATTTGTTCAGTTTCAGGGAAAGTATAGAAGAACAAAAGTAATACTTACTTTAATTAAAAAAGTAAAAATGAAGTGTGCCAGAACTACTGCTTATTAGACTAATTCATTTAAGTGAAAAATGCATATCTTCATTTTTACAAAACCTTTTAACAAGCAGTAACTATGCTTTGTAATAGAATGTTCTCTTATTGTTGGCACTAAATTACGTTTTGTGGATGATTTAATTCTCCTAATTTATTTTTTTTTTTGGCATACAATAACTGTTTTTTTAAAGTAGCCAAGAGAGTGCAGGGTGCCACTTGCAGTTAGCAGTGTCCAGCCATGACTGATCTAGTCTGTCTGAGACACTTCCGTGCTTACTGAAGAATTATTTGTTGAAGCTGTGTTTCAAGATCCTGGTATTACAAGAAAATTGTCTTTATTTTTAAATAAATTCAGCAGAATCACTGGTAAAACATCTTCTTTCACGAATATGTAAGAAAAGAGGATGCTAAAAAAATCTCTTACCTTTCCCAAGTTTTGTCTGGTACTTGTTCAGAGCTGACACCCTACTTTTAAGGATATTTTTTAATATTTGTGAGTAGTGATTTTTTTTTTTTTTTGGAGCTTGCACTATTTCTAAGTCTTACTCTCTGTGTCTACTATAGAGACTATATCGACAAAACAAGGTAGGTATACAACGTCTCTCTGAATAGAAATGGCACAGAAATTATGGCATTCTAATGCCATAACAAGTCATGTTTTCTTATGTGAGTGGTTCAGTAAATTGATTTGTTTTCAATAGAATATAAGCTAATGGTTATATTTTTCAGGTAGAACACAGTTATTGAAGCTGGCTTGTTGGGGCTATCTGTATGTTTTGTCTTTCAAAAGTGAACACTTTGTTCCCTGCTTCTAGCTGTTGTCTGGGGAAGCTGACATTTCTACTCAAATTTGCAGGGGTATGCTGAAAAAATAAGGCCCATGGTTCGAGATGGCGTGTATTTTATGTACGAAGCTCTTCATGGCTCCCCAAAGAAGATCCTTGTTGAAGGAGCCAATGCAGCATTACTTGATATTGACTTTGGTAAGTTAAATTCTAAACTCAATTTATCTCCTGAGAGTTTAGTTTTATTTTGATTTGTGTTTATATCAGCTTTGCAAACAGCAGGAAAATAGAGAAAGAAAATAGTATTTCCTTTAATAGGAACAGATCTCCCAAAAGTAAAGCACAGTAAGCCAGAGATTGTATCATTAACAGGATTAGGTACTTAAGGTTTAAATATTGATTTTTGTTTTTTGACTGAAGCTTATTCCAGTGGAGTTGAAATTTCACTCCAGATACTCTTGTCTTTATTTCTTCTAAATGTGTGTGCGCATCGCCATACATTCCAGACAGCCATTGTAGTGCTGCTGAGAATTCCTCTGCAGTGGAGGAAGGATTAAACTGGTGCAGATAACTTGTAAGTCTAGCTTCTTCAGTTGATCTCTGCTCTGCTCTCTTACCAAAAGTCTAATTAAGCCACTTAAGTCTCCATGAAGATGAAATGAAGAACTGGAGAGATGCTCCAATCCAGAGTCACAGTGTAGAGATCATGAATAACCTCTTACGGCTTAGAAAAATTACTGTAGATACTCAGAGCAACTTGTGTAGAGCACTGGGAATGTCAGACTGTGACCTTTACACCAGGCTGTCCGTGGATGTTGCAGAAATGCTTTTTGTGATACACAGGACGGTGAAAAAAGCTTTACACAGCAGCAGCATCTTATAATAGATCCAGTGCCTAATGGAAGTAGGCCTGAGATGCTTTTAAATTTCTCCCTTGTGAGCAATCCTTAGTGAAAGTTGCAAAGGATGAATGCAGAAAAGTTTATGCATTGGAGCAGATCGCATATTCTGGATACCTCCTCAAGTACAAGAAAGTATATTTTCTTATTTGTCTATATAAACTTCTTGCTCACTAATAATGTGCCTATACAAATTGCCAGGATAAGTCATCGTTCATTTTGAGGGGTTTCTGTGGAGCTTTAGAAATCTAAATACATATTATTCACTACAGGAGGAAGCAATTTGGGGAAGAACTGCTTAATTTCTTCTCTTAAAAGCAAAATGGGGGCATGTAGTAAGAAGAATTTGCCCTACTCTTTGGCTGCTGTTTCAGTTTAGCTTTAAAGCCAAACATACAGGTGAAAATCTCCTTTCAACTCATAAAAGAAAATTAGTCTTTGTTTCTTATCATTGCTGAAACAAGGTTGTGCTGTTGTGTTTTTGACAGGCACGTATCCTTTCGTGACTTCATCGAACTGCACTGTAGGCGGTGTATGCACCGGGCTTGGTGTTCCTCCCCAGCATGTCGGTGATGTGTATGGTGTGGTGAAGGCGTACACTACTCGGGTGGGAATTGGAGCCTTCCCCACTGAGCAGATTAATGTAGGTTTAATGTTACAAAATGCCATCTATACAGTTGCCAAAAAATAAGGTCAATGGAATGGGGAAAGGGTATACCAATGATAAGTAAGCACCATAACTGTAATGCCAAGCAATCACACTCACAAAGAGAGAACGAGTTACATTATAAACTGAAGGTATTTTTCTTCAGAGGAGAGAAAATATGAGTGTGATGACGTTATATTACAATGACCACACTTCTGTGGTAAAGAAGGATGTGAAAACAGATTTCATCATTTTGTGTTACATAGGTTCATTTCAGTGGCAAGAGTTTGTTGCAGACTGGAACTGTCAGTGCATCACGGGAAAGCTTGAATTACAAGATACAACTTCTGTCCCTAACAGCCTGTTTTCTGTGGGATTTATAGAATAAATGTGGTGTGTGCGTCAGCCAGTCATGCACAAATTGATCAATAAAAAGAAGGGGAGAGATTTTGATTCTTTTAAGCTGTCTATTGTATTTTCATTATCAAGAAACTAGAAGGTTTGGTGTATTGATTATGAGCTATGTACACAGCAATCTCTAGGTCAGTGATCTGAATCTAATTTAAGGATTTAGTCACTAAAATCCTTTCTCTAATGGCTCAAATGAATTGGTGATACCCTTTAGTTTTATGAATCATGAGCGTAAAATCTCTTTCATCTTCATTTTTAACACATTATAAACACTGCCAGCCTGAAGGGAACAGTTGGAAGTGTCATGCTGGTAGAACCTAGGAGCCCTAGGTATGGTCAAGGAGTCTGACCTAGACATTGTACAAGCATTAATCTTGTCCCACGCATTTACAGTATTGCCCCGAAAAACGGTAGATGCCAAAAGACCAGATGAAGAATGTACATGCAAACAAAATTAAAAGCAGGGCTGAATTTGTCAAGGAAATCTGCCCATCAGATGAAGAAAGCAAAATGTCTCCCTGGAACATGCAATAGTCATATTAAATAAGTATTTTGGAAATGCTAGTGATTGAAGTACAAAAATCCTGTGCATGAGGGACTCTTTCTCCGCCTTAGTCCCCTCCTAAAAAAAACTTCCTTTTTTTTCCTACAAAAAAAGCTGTGAAACTGAATAACTATTTTCCTTGCTATTTGTCTGTATTTGTTTATATTCATTTTCCTGCTATTTTTCAGTGAAATACCATCAGCATTCTTTGTCTTCTCTTAGGAAATTGGAGAGCTCTTACAGTCCCGTGGCCATGAATGGGGAGTAACTACAGGCAGAAAGAGACGCTGTGGCTGGTTAGATCTTGTCATTTTGAAATATGCTCATATGATCAACGGATTCACTGCGTAAGCATCACAGATTTTGCGCTACATTTGGAAGTGATAATTTTGTGCTTCGCAGAATAAATATGTAGGTAACATTAATATAAGTCCAGTATAGTGTTACATTTTAAGCAATAAAATAATTCAGTGGGCAACTGAGAATTGTCTTAATACTAATAATAATAATTTATTTCCTTTGACTTTTTTCAAATCAAGTGATTTTACATCATAGAGGTGATTATTTTTTTTATATATGTTTTTGCTCTGCTTACATCAGATGGCCAATGTAGATCAATATATCAGTTTTCTAACAGGTTGCTCTAGTGTTCTTGATCCAGTGCTTTCATACTGACTTATGTCATGATCTAAACCCGCTGGTCTTGAGCTTTGTTTGACTCTAGTGGATCATACTTGTAGGACCAATTTTGCATAATTTGGAACCACTGCCTCTTGAACTGAAATAAGGGGGGTGATACAAAGCGTACAGCAACTGGCACAGCTTTCATTCCAGTCCTGACAGGTTCATTTATTTACAAAGATCTAGTCTCTTATTGTATTATAAATTCTGCTTTTAATGGGCTGAGTTTTATTTCCTTTAGGACTGAGTGACTGACTTGATTGATAAATGATTTTATAATTCAAAACAGATAATAAATTCATATTTTAAAGGAAGAGTGGCTGTTTAAAGGAACCATAATGCCATCAAGCTAGGTTATGTCTAAATGCTAAAATGCTAGTAACTATCACAAGCCATTAATTTACAACTAATTACCAATCTGTGATTTTTAGAAAAAGCTGCAAAATTTTCATGACTGTTTTGATTGTATAAAGTGCAGACTTACTCATGCATTTTTTTTTTTTACTTGGATTTATATTTTGCTTTAACTTACACAGCTCTAGTTTATGTGGAGATAGTATTAGGAAGGCATTATATTTCCTTCCATTTCACTTCTATATAATTACTGCACCTCTGTCAACAAAACTATGTTGGCTCTGGTAACTCTGACAGTTAAAAATGGGGAGATAAAAACTTCTTTGAAGTTGAAGAACTGGCTCTATGCTGCTTCTTCCCCAAAATGTCTTTAAACTAAAGCATTGCATTCATCGTGTACTTACTGAGCACATGAGCATAGACTGTTATGCACATACCTGTCTAAATCCTCTGCTACTCATGTTTTTACCAAGCAAGGTCTGGTGTGTTGTTTCTAGAGAGCTTGATTAGTTTTAAAATGCAATTTTATTCTGATCAGTGAATACTACAGTGTTTTCTGGAGTTTCCATTTTTGTGTTCCAGTGTGTTCATTCAAAAGATGAAAAAGGTTCATTAAACTGACAACCCTGATATCCCAGACAACCCTGATATCCCAGCCTGACTTTCACTGCCTGGGCTGTGCTCAAAAAACCTGTATACATAATTTTAGTAACCATATTATGCTTGTGAATTCTGTTTTAAAAATGTAATTTAGTAAATAAGTCTGCCTTACAGTTGTTGTGAGTAGGTGTAGGAATACCAGAAATAATCACTAGTAGCGGCATAAAGTGACACGCTGTCATACAGACCCAAACCACGCCCAGTAAGTGCCGCTTTACACAGTCAGCTTGCATTTTCATGCGCTGAACTGAACACTGTGCACCTGTATGAGCAGCTGAGTGTTTAGAAAGGTGTCGTAGTAACTCAGTCGTATATTCACCCCAGAGGCGTGAATTCAATTAACAATGTGTTCACAGTTTAATACATTTGTGTATTTCTGCTTGCTGGGTTGCCTGAGCTGGATTTCTGAATACAAAACTATAAAGGGGGAAAAAAAAAAAGACAGGTGGAAAGCATTAAAGAGGAGATTCATCATGTGTGTAACTCTAACCAATGTTTTTCTGTACAGTTTGGCATTGACAAAACTGGATATTCTTGATGTCCTTGATGAGATTAAAATTGGTGTTGCTTACAAATTGGGTGGAAAAAGAATCCCCTATTTTCCAGGTATGTTGTTAAATATCTATGTTCATTTTTCTCTTTCCTGCCTGTTAAGTCATACCTGTTGAGAAAGACTGCTTTTCAAAATCAGACTTGATTTCTTTTTTGCTAGACTTTCTGTAGAAATTTGCAGAACTGTGATACTAGTATAAAGACTACTGTATCAGTATATTAGCATTTTCTAGTCACCTTGTGTCTATATGTATGATGGCAAGAAGTTCAGAGTAAATAAACTCTTGTGTTAGGGCCTCTATGCCTTGTCCCATTTGATTTATTTTTTTTAATTGAAAACACAAGAGGTCAGCAAGATTCAAGTCAGTGTCTTTGTATCATTGGCAACAGCCTTTAATGAAGTAAAGTAAAAGTAAAATCAGTGCTTAAGCTGTGCAAAAATGAGATGGATATAAGTAGAATAAAGCTGTTCATGGGCTGCCATCATATAACACTAATAGCAACAACACAATATAAAAATATATATTGCTTCATGAATATACTTCATGTTAAAACTTTTAAACTTTTAAGAGGTAATAATATGTAATTTTCATACATTAATGAAGTTTTCAAGATGCCTGTAACAGTCTATGCCAAAGTGAGGGGTTGGTTCTGTTGAAATGGGGGATCCTGGAGGCATGGGCAGGGCTGGCAGCAGCCAGCTCTCCCACTGCTGATGGTAGTTCCTGGCTGTGGACAGTAGCACAGTGAGAATTCCAGTGGGGAAAGGCTTGCAAACATCTAAGTTTTTAGCCTGATTTAACCCTGTTCCAGGAAGGTAAACATTTTTGAGAAAGTCTACAGGAGGATTTAGATTTTATTATGTGCAAATCTGAACCAAAAAGTGGAACTTATAAACTTCAAATAAATTGTTTCCTTAAAAATAGTATTATAGTCTTCTGACAACATAGAGTGCATCCTAAGGTTTTGACAAGAGGAAACTGGATTACTGGATCCTTTTGAATAAAGAGTAATCTTCCTAAGTAATAGAAATTAATCTAAATTAAGAATAAATGAATTAACCAACCAGTAGAAATACTGGAGATTTTTTTTATTTATCCGATTTTAAATGTTGTCAAAAGACTTTGTTGGTCAAGTACCATAGGTGTTTTCTTTTAAGGTGGAGCTGCTAAAATCAACTGTGGTAAAAATTGTTCTCTCGCAGCTAACCAGGAGATACTTCAGAAGGTGGAAGTAGAGTATGAAACAATGCCTGGGTGGAAGACTGACACAACTGGGGCACGAAAATGGGAGGACCTCCCACCCAAGGCCCAGAATTACATACGCTGTGTGGAGAACCATGTTGGAGTGCCAGGTAAATCTTTCTGCAGATGTACGTATGAGGATGCCACAGCAGACAGGAACGGCTCTGTAGAAGTGCTCGATTCATTAGTCGGGGAGTGGCTTGATTTGGGCAGGAGGCAATGCAAGTACCTGTGGTTGGGCTGACAGTGGTAAATGACAGCTTGCCAAAAAGCAGCAAAGGGTGCTGTTCTGCAGGCAGGTCTGCAGTGTTGCAGAGAGCTCCAGGCTGCTGCTGACAAGGATTTAACCAGAGGAAAGATAAATGTGCACTGTTCTTGGCTAACTCCTGCCTTTTGTCAGTGAAAACGTGGGCATCTCTGCACCATGCTTCAGTGCATAGTTAGTCTAACGTCCTCCCTTTACTGACCTCTTCCTTTCACTTCACTTTCTGTACCGCATCCCTGTTTGAGCATAGACTTCCCTTTCTTTTTTCCTTTTTTTTTCCTTTTTTTCTCTTATACTTACTTATTTGAGGAGATGTGGTGCATAATGGATACAAGATTGTTTAGCCTTTGGAAAAATGAGAATCTTAATGTGATCAGTCTCCAAAGGTTAAACCATCCAGTTTTTTTCAAATCTAATTGCTAGAGTTCTAGAGGTGCCAAGAGCTAGGTGTGGCATTAACGGTGGAGTTTGAAAGGGAATTTCCACGGAAGCACACATGTCAGTTTTCCAAGTTTGCTATTGTTTTCCATAAAGCACCTCAAAGGTCACATTTGGGGAGTGTTAGTTGCAACTGTGGCAATTGCAGTGTTGTTCAAGGATTAGGAAGCATCTGACAGCAGAGCCTGTAACTCAGTGGCTTGTGTGGTCATGGACACAGGTGTGGGCAATGGGATGTGTAAATAAAGCTCCCCTTGCTTTATTTCTCTGTTTCTTGGTGTGAGGACAGGGCACCTTGGTGGGTTTGGCTAAAGGAGACCTACCTATAGTCAGTTATATAGTATCCATGGGCAATAAAAACTGTAGTGGAACAATTGCAGTATGGTATTTGGGGTGGCTGCTCACACTGGGTAATGTTTTTAACTGCAGCCTTACATTTAACAATATTATAGCGTATGTGCATCGCTATCTCCTGGTCCACATCAAGAAGACCTCACAGCCTGCCAGAGCTCTTGCTTCCTCTCTGCAGGGATTTAGCTAGACACCCTATCACTCGAGCCGATGACAGTTAAACCTGCAACAAACATGCCTGACCTCCTGTTAGGCTTTCCATCTGCAGTGCTTTGTGTTTATGGTATGGTCTTGTGCTTTCAAACTTCAGTATATTGCACTTCTAGTCCAGTAATGCAGCAGCAGTAAAGTGATTTTTGACAGTAAAACTTCCTAGCATTGTGTTTCAGCACAAAGTGGGCTGGTTTGTAGTGAAGCATGATGAAAGGTGAAAATTACTCCAATTCATTGATTATAATATTTACTCTCGGTAATTGTTCTAATAGATGTGTTTTTCCTCCCTAGTTAAATGGGTCGGAGTTGGAAAATCAAGAGAATCGATGATCCAGCTATTCTAAACAAATGAAGAACTACAGTGATGAGAAGCACAATTCGGCGTTCATCTGTTCCTCTTTTGAATGGAGATGCTATTTAAAACCAACATGTTTTTCTAGGAATTGAATCGAAACAAAACATATATTCTTTATTGTAAAGTTTTATTTATCTTTAAGTTCTCAGTAAATTTGGTGTAAAATCTCCTTGGTGGCCATCAGCAAAAAAAAATTAAAGTATTTTTAACAAAATAAGGAAAAAATATTTTTTTAAATTTGAGCCATTCTACTGTTTGAAAGTATTTTACATCCCTATAGAATTATTTCTTCTTGATGAAACCAGTATTAAGCCTTTTCCAGTAGTTACTGGGTAACTTTAGAATTGTGAAGCTTGGATTTGTTCTTCAACTTCCAAATGTTAAAATGTCTTTGTATCTGGGTTGGCAGTAATAAGACAGATAACCGTGTACTTAAAATTGGTTGGATTATACAGATTCTCAGTTTCTAAAACACAGTGAAGTTAAGTAGGTATTTTTGACTGCACGAAGCAAAGCAAACACAATTATCTATAATTTTTATATAACAATTTTTTTAATAGCCCACTAAAATGAATGGAGAGCAGCTAAAGTAGGTTTATCACAGAGCCTATTCTAGTAACTGAGATGACATCTGTAGAGGGGCCAAACTGGAGAAAGCTGACCTGTCTAATAATTCTTTCTAATACCCTGTGTACTAACAGACCATCCCTGTGGACACTGTCAGATGTGCAGCCTTTTTCTTACATGGCAGGGAAGGAGTGAAGGTGGAAGGAAGAGTCCTCAGGCTACAAAACACAGGGGGAGAGTGGAGCCGAGACAGCACACTGTGGTTTTTATCAGTGAACCAGAGAAGCTTCTTCCTGCTAATGCAGCGATTGTAATTTCCAAAGTTTTACTGTGGTTATCTGTTGAGGAACTTGGGACTTGCAGTTCTGTCAGGCATGCTCACTTCCACAGCTCCTAGGTTTCCAAGAATAAATCAATGCATGACTTAATGATGACTGCTGCAGTATTTACACCCCTCACACATTTTTGACCTTCCTCAGCAAAATGTAATGCCTATTTATAGAAGGGGTTGACATGTGGCAGCCGGGGTTGGGACATGTAGAAGCCATGGAGAGATCTCGGAATCTTCAAGAATACACTTGGATTTCTTTATGAATCTTCTAATTTATAATGGCTATACTTCAAGAGCTCTCAAAAAAAGGCCTACCTCTCGTAGAGGAAAACGAATACACTAGAAATGGAGTTATTCCCCAACCGCAGAATTTTCTGTGTAAATGTTCCTTTTCTATGTAGTCTGAGAGCTATAATAATATTTTTTGTATCATTCCCAGGGGCTGTGGAAATGCCATCACAACCCCAGTGATACCATCATTTTGTATCCTTGGAGCTATTCTTCACATCAGAGAGGTTTTTCTTTTTCCCTCATCTATCTGGAGTATCTTGTGTCATACTCATCCCCTTTGTCTTTTCTCGCTCAATATTAAATAGTGGTTAATGTTCGAACCCATTTGTGTCAAGAAGCAATTACAAAAGCACCAGTACAAGCACTAAATTTAACTGTTCACGGACGTATCACTGCTTGTAGGGCAGAATTTTTACACCCTCTGGCTGCAGTGCAGTCTCTTTGTACCCCAGTTCATCACAGACTGTGGCTTTATGCTACAACCAAATACTTTTTATTTAAAAAAAAAAAAAAAAGCGAGCCCAAATCTGTGAATCCTTAATTCAGCCACAACTCTTTTGTCAATCTTTGGCAAGTTGTTTAATCTCCTTGCTACTGTTTTGCAGTCTGTAAAATGGTGATTAGGAATACTGCCTCACCTCTTACAAACCGTTTTTTGGAGGTCTGTGGGTCGAGCCCTGCAGTCCTTGCTCTGACACTGATGAGGAAGCTTTCCCTGTCGACTGTATGGGTGTTCTAATGAAAGAGCTACAAGATTTCTGACCCTACTTCATGTTTGCAAAGCACTTCTGAAAGGTGCTTGGTAAGTGCTAATTACTACAAGCACTGTCAAAGGCGCCTCATTTATATGAGGTCTTTTAAGCATAACGATGCTTGGAGATACCGTAATTAAGCTTTGTTTTCACATGGCTTAACCTTGTGACATTTGCCTACTGGATGATGCAGGCCTGTTCCTTTTCTTGGCCTCATCATCAGCGCCTTTGTGTTACGAGGCTGCCGCTACATGTAAGCTTTGGTTGATACGTAGGCAAAGTCCACGGTGACTAACGAGCCACTGGGTGTGCTGAATAACTGGGTTAAATGATCAACTCTAAATGAGGTATTTGGCGTATTGAAAAAAATGAGTGTTTATAGTTTAATTTCCACAGGATTCCTTTCACTTGTTCACCTAATCTTTTTATTTTCTATTAAGTAATTTTTCCATTGTCTCCATTAGATCCACGTTGCCTGTCTTTGCATTCAAGGATTCATCAGAAACCCAGTGATGTTGTCAATGGGCGTGATGTAATAGGCAATTATGCTGTGACTTACTCTGTTACCAACAAATAATTAAATGCATTTTGTTTAATTTCATAGCATGGATTTTTTTTCAAATGAAAGTTCTACTCCTATTGACTTTCATATGTGTTGTCATTGAGTTAAATGTGAGTAACTTCAGGCTTTTATTGAAAAGCTCTGCAATCTACCGAGTGACACAATGCTTAATAAGAACACTTTTATGTAAAATTGCTTTCATTTTGGCCATTTCCCTTGTGTATTATTTTGTATTGTTTGGAGTTTCATTTTCATAACAATCACTGTGAGTACATTAATATCTTCTTTCTCCCCAGCCAAATGCAATAATAATGACTAAAACTGGTTGATGCATCATCCTGTTAGATATCTGGATGGAAGACTAAGGGTAAACCTCTACTAAAATGGCATAAGTTGTGAAGATTAGGGTTTTTTAAAAGCAGCCATTACTGATTCGCTCATGCGCGTTACTGTATTTAACGTATTTTCTCACACTTACCCTTACAAGGTGGCCTTCATAGTCAGGTGTACGCTTCCTAACACATGCAGTATAAGATTTTGAAGCTTTTGTCATTTTTAATTTGGCTATGTATGGTCTTACAGTTCTGGCATAATGCACTTTGTAAAAGGAAAGAAAATTAAGCATTTCCATTGTATTGTGCAAACTATACTTACACCTTATGCAGGTTTTTTCAGATGAATTTTGGTTCCACACCTGTTTATTTTGTCCCGAAAGACACATTAAAACCAATTTGAAGTAACAGCGCTTGGTCTCGATTTCTCTCTTCTTTTTGTTTTTTAACCCAATGCACTTCATACAAAAACCTGGTTCAGTATTTCATGGATTTTAAAAAATGACTGAATGAATGGATATTTTCTTTCAATCTACAGATTCTCAGTGTTTGCCTTTTTTTTTTTTTTTTTTAAATATTCTGTAAATTTTGTTACACCTTCCCATTTACAAACTGAGCAGGGATCCACCTTTACCCCTGGGGATTCATGGTTAGTCATCTTAGTTCACCTGAGTGAAAAATTATTTTTTTCTAGGAAGAAAAAACCCATTTCCTAATTGATGCAAAAGTGTTCTTGCCACACCAGCTGGCTCAGAGCAACCAAGGTGAACTCCATACAGCTCTTTATTAACAGCACTGTGCTAGAAAGGATAGGGAGATACTGGCTCAGATAGCATAATTATCATCTCTGAAATATGGGAGGGCTTCAGACAAGTACTGTTAGGGCTTTCGGAAGCCTTTATAGAAATTACTCTTTCTCCTCCGCTTTAGAAGTCTGGAACAGCAGGCGCGTCCCCTGTCCAGTGAGCGGCAGCAGGTTAGTACACAGTGCAGGGCAGCGTCTCCGAGCTCTACAAGAACTGCTCTGCTAATTAAGTAATGTTTCTTTGTTTTCCTTTCACAGAATGGCAGGGGTTGGAAGGGACCTCGGGAGATCATCTAGTCCAACCCTTTGCATCAGTTATATATAAATATAAATTCCTGTAGAATGGTCTTTGGTAGCTGAAGCATCTGAAGCAGTACTGTCTAACCCCATCTAACACTGGCAGTGCCTGAGGCAAAAAAAACCCAAACGCCAAACCTGAGGGAGTCTCTCTTTGGTGAAAGTCCCCACTGGGAAAACAGTTTTTTTTTTACTGGCCCATCTGTTGTCTGTCAGCTGGAGAGCTGAGTCTTAGGACTGTCTATCTTGTTTCCTCCCTCCCAGATGGGTAAAAATGGGAACAATATGACTGTCTTGCCTCTGGAGAGCCACAATTAATAGATGACTGTCCTGCCCCTACCCTCTCTACTAATAGTTTACGTGGAGTCAAGCTCTGGCCCGTTCCTGGTGGAAGTGGCCCAGCTTCCTTTATATAACAGCGAGCTGGTTTCAAGTGCTGGATATTTGCAGAAAGGATGAGCTGACATCGCCCTTTTAACAAGGTGTCAGGCAAGAGAAAAATCCAGCTCCAACCACCTTATCTTTTGAAGAAGTCCCTGTTTGTGGTGTAGGCACTTTATCAAGGCGGTACCCTATGGATCTGTTGGCTACCAATTTGGGTTTGTTAGTGCCGGTTTCATGCCCTTATTAGATCTGTGCTTCTAGTGAAAAAGAGGGTGCCTGAGGCGTGGAGCCTGCTCGACCGTCGCAGCACTGCATGGCATTCATGGCGTGCGA